CCCCAAAAAAAAAAAAAAAAAAAAAAAAAATCGCGTCACACGGACTCACACCGTTGAGTTTTCTGAACTCAACAACTGTAGGTGGGACCAGACCCGTTGTCTGCTCTTATCAGCAACACTAACACCGGTGGGGGAGAGGTTCTAGGGGAAAAATAAAATAAAAATAAAAAATAAAGGTGGGACCAGACCCCAGGGGCCAGGGGCCTGGAGTCCTGGACCCACTAGCAAGGTATTCTACCACGCCGTTCAGGATTTCGATCACGTGTGGCATAGACTGACTCAGTACGGCCGTCGAATAGATCGGATCTGGAAGGCCTGGTAATTTCCGAGCGGGGACTGTAAAGATGCCCACCTCCCGTCCAATGACATGCGTCGAAAAAAAAAGAAAGGAAAAAAGTTGGACTAACTTGGACATGATAGCTCGTGGCTTTGCGTGGGCGGGAAGTCTGGATTTTATGGGCTCTAAAGGGGGGGGGGGGATTTCCAGACTTCGTTTTTTTTTTTTTTTGGCTCTGAGAAATAGAACTTGAAATGTGAAATTCAGATATCGTGGTGGGTCTGTCCGATGGCCTGTTAGAGGCATCATGAGATACATGGGGATGAATGTATCCCTATAGTCATTACTTGTTCATCCTCGTGGCTGTGTTCGTGGACACATTGCCACGGTACATCACATTGAAGACTTATGTGAAGGAGATCGTACCAACCCATGAATTCGGGTGCACAGCTGTTCTTCATAGTTGTATATGCTATATATATAACCTGTCTCTTATACACATCTAGATGTGTATAAGAGACAGGAGTGTGTGTGTGACTGCGTGTGACTGCATGTGACTGCCTGTGACTGTGCCTATCAGGCTATCACTGCTGTGTGTCTGTCTGCGTGTGACTACGCCTATCACTGCTGTTCGGTCCAAGTTGCGTGCTCGTGGACAGGGCAACTGTCCTGAGTGCTGGTTACACTGAGGTAGGATAGTGGGACAGGGGGTGCGCTAGGAGTATGATGAGAGGATGGGTTGGGATTGGGTCTCAAAAGGACACCCATGGCTCACAGTTCCAGGTGATCGCTGTGCACTCATTGACTGTCCTCTACAACACCC